CCCAGGTAACCACACATTTCATCAAGTAGGAGGAGGACGACACTGAAACAGCCATAAACTGAGACACAGAAGAAACTTGATCAGAAATACATTGATACAACATTTAAAAAGGAATAATCATTCATGTCTTTGAGAGGGTTCACTCAACACTCAGTAGTGATTTGCCTTCGTTACATTTTCAAACAACTTATTGACACATTTCCCATTAAACTCTCACTTGAGTCAGATGATTCTGGATATTTTAACATTCCACTCTTCTACCTACACTCTGCTCATATCACAAACCTCACGTTAAACAGAAATAGATCCCTGGTCTGAGAAAGGGCTGTTGGCAAATATGCTTTTAATCTTCAAAGTAAAATACTAAGTGTCAGCATGACCTGTGAGAACAAGCAGAATGCATAACTTGTTTGTGTGTCTGTGTGCATGCACACGTTGTTACCTCTGCCAAGGAGGTTTCACCCCTGCAAGCACGATTACGCAAAAACTACCGGACGGATTAACACGAAACTTGGTGGAAGGATGCAGAATGGGTCAGTGAGGAACCTTTCGAATTATGAATTTTTGAAAATGTTGTTCGGGATCAGTATCAGAATTTCTTCCACCTTCTTTAACATTGCGAGATGGGGCGTCTTTCACCATTTTCTTAGTGAAATAATTCATGATCATGGTGAGAAAAATCAAGCATATTTATGGGACTGATATCTATGAGTGTGTGAAAACTTGTGCAGCTTAACTGAATCTAAAGGGGCTGTTGGGCCTTGGCGGAGGTTTGTGCTCAGTCAGAGTGATATTCTAGTTTTATGTCTGAATCTGGCTCTGTCTATGTGCAGATGCAAAAAGCTGTTGCACAGTTTGGTGGTTTCTCTCCTGGAGGTTGGTGAACCTCTGAACTCTTCACTACCGCTGCATCAAGGTGGAGAGGATACCACTTTTAAATTAAGTGCACCAATCCCTCCACACAATGCACATGGACAACTTGACTGTGCTTGCATGAAATTTGCAACCTACGTGTGTGTGTTAATGTGTAAAAGGAAGAGAGGGATGACGGCGTATACCGCGCTGCTGTGCTCATTTATACATGCTCACCGCACAATGTTTCAGCACCTGCACCCAACACAACACAACACACACACACTCTGACCCACCAACTCAAACATGACATTTAAAGACACGGTACAGATGGATGAAAGGATGAGAAGGAGAAAACACAGGGAGAGGCAGCAGCAGAGATACAGAGAAAGGCAGAAACAGAGGCAGCACGAGCTGTGATGCCCGGGAATATTATAATGATTGTTCCACACTGGTTAAGTACTGGAACTATCACACTCTACTAGTCAGCCTGGGCCACCTCTCCAAAGAGAGCACACACACACACACACTCTCTCACACACATAAACACACACAAAATGGAAGTGTCAGATGATTTAGTCGTAACTTGTGCTTTGTGACCCACAGGCCTGGCTGGACGTGACCTAGTTAGGTCAGACCCAGGTGAGATTCAGTGAGACACCACATTGCAGCTTCGTGCATGCGCCTTTGCACACACAAACGCACACACACACACACATTTAGGGCAGCCTGTTATATACACACACACACACACACACACACACACACACACACACACACACACACACACACACACCTAAGCACCTTCTCTGAAATACTCTCACCACATAAATGAACCCACACGCAGGTTTACGTTAACTGTGCACACCTCGGAAAAACATTGTTGCCATAAAGCAAAATAAACTGGATGCCTCTCACTGATTTTAAGTTTGCCTGTTGATTTTATCATCTGATCAACATGATTTCAATAATATCTGAGAAGCTTGACAGTAAAACAGACTTAGATAAAGAGGGGGTTACTTTTTTCAAATTTAGATGAAAATATTTATGTTTTAAAACCAAGGCCCCAAAGGTGCTTAACCAGCAGGATGGTGGCTTACACATAAAAATTTAAATGCCACACAATTCCAGTGGCTTGAGAGACTTGCTGTACAGGCAGAAAGCCCACCATGCACACACACACACACACACACACACACATCTCCTCAGCAATGTTGTGGAAACAAAGCTCCTGACCAATCTTAAAGAGCCCAGGAGCAGGAAGGAAGTCTGGGAGATTTTTTGCAGATGAATACTGGAAGTGTTTGTGAATGTTAACAACTGTATCCTTCATGCAATGTTTGACACACACACACACACAAACACACACACACACACACACACACACACACACACACACACACACACACACACACACTGTGGAATGAATTGGATGTATACTTTTGATATGTGCAGTAGTAAATACTGTACAAAAGCACACAGCAGGTCCATTCAGTGTTGCAGTGACTCTTAGAATCTTCCTCTTTCCTTTATTTTGATTGAATTTATTTATTGATTGATTATTTGTTGGATCACGTTGCTCCTCTGTGTCAGCTCCCTCTCCTCCTCTCCACCGTACATGTAAGAGTTGTATCCAGGCGGTTGAACATACTCCTCAGACTTATCCCAGTCTTTCACCCACCCGGGTCCGGCTCCTCCACCTCCTCCTCCTCCGCCCCCTCCCCCATTAGAACCCACCACGGGCTGGCTCATGGCCCCGTACTGCCCGCCTCCACGGTAGAGCTCCTCTGTCTCATTGGCCAGTTCATCCTCATCGATGATGCCACACTTCTCCTCGCTGGTGTCTTCTATGTCCGCCCATGCCTGCTTCTCTCCTGATGCAAAGATTCCTATTGAAAAATAAATCGCTTTTTATTCTGAGGTCTCCTTCACTTACCTCACATGACAATGTATTTAAAAGTGGAGTCATACCATAGAAAATCACTCCTCCATAATGAACGAGAGAAGCTATAAGGAAGACATACTGCCACTCCTCACGTGTCTGGAATAAAGTAGAAAAACTGAGTTCAGGATTGATTTAATCTTCTCTCAATGTCCATTAAATTAAATAAAATAAATACAACTTAAAAGTTTGTTGCTTTGCATTGTTAAGTTCATATCAGTGAATGTTTGTACCTTGTGTTTGGTCATGGCTCCGACTATGAGAGGACAAACCATTCCTGATAATGTTCCCACCCCGTTTGAAATGCCCATCAGTATGCTGGCATATCGAGGGGCGATGTCCAAGTGATTGACATTAAACCCTGAGAGGAAACCAGCACACAATTTATTTCTTAAGGTTTTGCCAACTGCCAAACTGATCCTGTAAAACAGGAGCAACAACCCAGTTTTCAAAAACTCTTGATTTCATGACTGAATTAACTCAAGACATGAAAGTGACACAGCTGACGAGATCTGATTAAACTCTCTTACCTGAGATTGCAAATCCACTGAAGCCAACAGCGAGGACCAGGAAGGAAATGGCAACACCTTTAGTGTGAGAGAATCCCACCACCAGCAGGAGGGTCGCCTCCATCCCAAAACCTGAAACACACAATGAAATGTAACACAAGAAGGGAGGAATCACTTTACAGCTTTATAGTCTGACAATGATTGTCTGACTGTGACTTGTGCTGTAAAGCACTTTGAGTGGTCAGTTCAACTAGAAATAATACAATATGATATAAATACAGTCCATTTAGTCCATCCATGTTACTACATTGTAATTATATCGTAACAATTACACATTTGCATCCGAGATGTTCTTATGCAGGTGATTCAGAGCTTTATTCTGTTTTCTGATCTGAGGTTTCTTTCTTTTTCTTTTCATTGTTTTATTTTGTAATCGTCCTAACCGTCCTCCAACTCTCACCTCCGCAGTTCATCATCTTCCTGACGTTGGTGGTTGACATCAGGTTGTGGGTTCTCAGGTAGTCTGCCAACTGGCCTCCAATTGGCACAATGATAGTCATCACCAGATGGGGCAGAGCAGACACCATGCCCACCTGAAAAAGAGAAGAGAGACGGAAAGAGAGAGAGAGACAGGTACAGTAATTACAAAACGACTTGAAACAAGGGGAGGAGGATTCTTGAAGAAAATGAAAAGCTCCTGTTTCTATTTATATTCAAAGGTATCACAACTCAAAAGCAAAATATTGGAAAGTACCAAGTTATTATCAATCATAATCAAACTAAATTCTTTAACACCAGCTGAAGCGCCCTGCCACCTAACTTATCCCAGGTGTACAGTAGTACATTGAGCGATGCATACCCTGCACACACGCTGTATACACTCTATATTATATATTGAAATATTGACATTTCATAATCAGTGTTAGGTTGTTTCTTCAGCTCCATAATTTACAGATATCTCTGACTGTATATAAAGATGGACGACACATCTCCACTTCCTCCCAGGATCCAGACAAGAAGCCAACATATCACAGATATGAACTGTCTTCACAGTAGTGATCGGGGGAGGGAGCAGCAGTTTTAAGGTCCTGCTGATACACGTGCGCAAACAATCAAGATTCAGATTCAGCTGTCTATCGTGATGTTTCACCTCATTTGTATGACATAATTAAAACCAATCTGTTTGACAAAAATGACAAAAACATCCTGGATTTGAACATTTGTACTTCAACCCATGTCCCATACACAACATGGAGGCGGCAGGGTTCATGACATATACTCCGTCCAGCCACCAGGTGGCAACAGAGACACTTTGGCTTCACTTTTTTTTTGTCATGTCATCCATCTTTACGCACAGTTTATGACCTTGACTTTTGAGTAATCAGCCCCATGCAATTATTTTGGACATAAACACGCATACAGGTGTGCATGGCTGTGCTGGTGCACAGATACTGTTTCTACAGCTGTGAAAGTCTTTACATGTGGACGTTATGGTCTCACCTTGCTGATCTCGAAGCCAAACACTTCTTCAAAGTAGGCCGGCTGGCTGATGAGCAGCAGGTAGAAGGTCCAGCTCCTGCAGAAGTTGGCCACAATGATGGCGTAGACTGGCATAGAGGTGAAGAAGTGTCTCCATGGGGTTTTAAATTTCTGCCACCAAAAGGAAAAAGTTATCACTTGGATTCAATGATGAGTGAATAATCAACAACTAGCATCAGATGTGTGTGTGTGTGTGTACATCTGCACTGTGTGTCTTTGTGTGTAGGTCTAAGAGCTTTTTGGTGTTTGACAGCGAGGCTGTACATGAACCATACATGGAGAGGGTTGAGAAATGATGCAGACTCTCCGATTGCATCTTCGATGTACTTCCTCTCCTCTGGGGTGATGGTGGGATGCACTGCAGGACTCTCGTACGACACCAGGATCCAGAACAAATACCAGAATATCCCAAAGCTGCCTGAGAGAGGAGGGACAGACGCACAAGGGAAAACAAAGAGTGAGCGATGATGAGAAACAAAGTGAGGACTAGCGATAAAACAACTTAGTTCTGTAAATGCAACCGACACATGTATTAAGTCATTGAAGTTGTTATGAAAGCTTTGCTATTCACTCTTGCAAGCAACAGAAACATACTGGTAATGGTCATATATAAGTATTTTACTAGCTGAACAGTCATGTTACTGCAGTAAACCAACACTTATTTAAGTATAAGGATACTAACCATAGACGTAGAATACTGAAGGCCACCCAGTGTATTGCACCAGTATCCCAGCTAAAGGCATGGCCACCACAGCCCCTGCATAGGATCCTGAGACAAACACAATGAAAACAACAGATCATTTATTATTCATTTGTAGCCGTACAGTAATATCTGCCTTAAAATAGGTAATATAAAGCTGTGGAAACCCACATGTCTTCAAATCTCTAAACTGAACAGGAAATTCTTGTTGCTAATCTCGGCAGAAGAAGTTATGGTTTCATCTCTGCTTGTTTGTTGCTTAGCTGGATTACATAAAAACACTGAATTGATTACCACAATCCTTGGACCGTTTTTATTTTTACGAGGGAGTAATTCATGGATCATCTGGATTGTGTTTGTGAAATGTTGCAGCTTGATTGAATTTAACTGTCGGACCTTGGAGGTAGAATGTGCTCTAATGACTGACATGCTAGTTTTATGTCTGAATCTGTTTTGTAACCTTAAACTCTTAAAATGTGCAGATATTTCCTGGATTCTTGGATCTACACAACCTCATTTTCAAACCCACAGACCCCAGTGATCACAGATATTGAATTCTGGGTAAATGTGTCAACAGGGTGTTGAAACTTAACCACAAAAGGCTGTTGTGGCCAATCGACTCCTCTCCAGTGGAGGCGCCCACTTGGCCCAGATCCCGTGGCAGGCTGGGTATGATACACCCTGAAGGACATAACACAGTCAGGGACATGCTCGTCTAGCACACACATCTTCAGAACACATATGCACACAGAAACACGGTGTACCTCAACAAGGCCCTGGCATATCCTGACCAGTATGACACAGCTGTAATGGCAGCGAGCGGCAGATGGAATCAGCATGTTGAGGGTGGAGGTGGCCACGATGGCAAAGCCGAACACTCTTAAAGACACAAACAAGCAGCCACAGATCAAATACTCAACGTATTCATTTAAATGTGTTTTTTGAAATTGGAGTGACATTAGTGTTTCTTGTTGAACTGTATAGCAAGGTACAATTTAGAGGGACTAATAAAGTATCTTGTATTGTATCGAACCGTAGAGCCCATATTGGACAAGATTTCGTAAATTAAAAAATATTTACCTGTTAGCTGCAAATTTTTGACATATAAAACCACCAGGGATCTGTGTGACAATATAGCCCCAGAAGAAGGAGCCATGGATCATCCCCACTGTCTCCGGGTCCCAGGTGAACTGTGCAGCCTGGAGAAAGAAGTATATTTATTTTAACAATTAAATTTAAAGCAACAGATATGAGAACAGCAAATTAACTTTATTGGAGAACAGCCTTTAAGTAATTTTTCACCTGTCCGCCTCTACATACATTTTTTAAAGCTACTGGTATAAATAGTTGTATCTTTAAAATGTTTTTCTGGCCTGACTTGTGTCCTGAACAAAAATAAAACAAATACAATACAACCACATTTGCCAAAAACTGTGATTTCTCAAGTTAAACTCACCACAAGAACTTCCTTGTTGCCCTTGTAGACAGTGTGGTCGTTGACCATGCTCACAATGGCCACTCCCAGGTTGCACCGGATGCCGAAAGAGATGCAGAAGCCCAGGCCAGACAGGATGGCGATGATGTAGCGCCTGGGCAAACCAAAGCAGGTGCAGTCCACCACCGGCAGCTCTTTCTCCTCCACCAGCTCAGGACGGCCTTCCGCTGATAACTCGATGGTTTCTCCATTGGGCTGCCGCTTCTCGATCAGCCTGCAGGAGGAGATAGAGAGTTCAGAAAATAAGGTTTAGATATCCAAGCACCATGGACATGTAGAAAATGTTCTGATATTATTGATGCATTGATGCTGCCATAAAAACAGAACAGTTTTTAAAAGTACAATTTAACAAGACAGGATTTTTCAGTAACAGACCCAGAGGTGAGTCAAACGCAGATGTCAGGCAGCATCTTTTCTGATGATCTGTTCTAACACTGCAAGGACATCTTCTGGAAAAATGCTGCTCCTTATTTGCTGATGAATTAAAGTGGTCAAAGGTAGATTTCCATTAAAAAACAGGACAGAGAGAGACAGAGGGGAAGAGGGAGAGGTGACAGTGAGGTGACAGACTGATGTACGCCTCCATCAGGGACAAAAACTTGCATAACATAGAAACCGTGGCCTCGAATGGTGATTTCCTGGGAGTATGAGGAACATTTCCAGTTCAGGGGACTTTGGGTTGTAAAAGCTTAAAAAAGTTGCAAACACAGCGTCCTGGTGTAAGCAACCATCTCTGAGCAAGCTGACTTTCCGTGAGCGCTCTCTTCGGATGTACACGCACCGACAACATGCACCGTGTTGGGGTCGTGTCTGACTCAGTGTGTGGAAGCAGCTGTCACAGGATGAGGAGCAGAGTTGCCCCAGCGTCCTCTGCTTCAGGACGCCTAGGACCTGCTGCCGCGCTGGTGCTGCTCAAGATGTCCACTCTCCCACACACAAACAGGAGGACGACACTGAACCACGTGGTGCCACTGAGAGTACACTATCTATTGTTTTCTCTTCATCATTTTCTCTCTTTTTATCTGAGTTTGGAGTTTCCTCATTTCAAATGTATTAGATTTACATCAGTGTTTCAACGGTTCCTGTTAACATTGTTTTGCTCTGTGCATGGATGGGGGTTGGTGGATGGAGTATTGTTTTTATTGTCTTTCTTTTATTCTATAAAGCACTTTGTGAGGTCATAGTCAATGTGCTTTAAATTGGTTTACAAGTCACTGTACTGCAAAGTTAATCAATATTTAAAATGTTATATTTAAAAAAGAATACCTTGATTCCTTCACACACACTTGGATAGTTTGTGTCTAAAAACATTGGCTCCATTTGTTTCCCCTTTGAATTATTTCAAACAATTTTTTATTTTTATTAGAAGAAAACAAAAAGTGTTGTTTTTCATGCTACCACTCAATTTGTGCAAGACCATTTTTGTCACTTTTTTCCACTGGAGTCAAACAGAGAAGTCAGGAGAGCGACCATCTGTGTATAACAACCCCCCCACTAATAAACACACACACACCAGCAGATACACAGTAATAAGACATGGCACAACAGTTTTGAATCTATCTATAAACACATATGAATACAGTATATATATACATATATATATAAGCTTAACAGGAGTGTGTTTTTGTGTAACTGTAAATTCACAGTGAAGTGCACTTGTATGTCAGCTGTCCACTTTCCATTGGAATGATCCAGTTAGTCAGTGAGCTGGAGAATCGTGCACAGGAAAGGGCACGATGACCACGAGGATTTGCATCATGTGATGAGGATGATTACATTTTAAAAAAAAATATGGTGTTTAAAATTTGAGCTTCAGCACATTTCCAAAGACGCAACATGGAACCTCCTCTGTTTGTCAAGGAAATGTTTCAGGCTCTCAACAGGAACTGCAAAATAACTTATTCACACACAAGACAAGTCAGGCTCCGACACTGGTTAATTATTGATGTGTTTTTGGTTGAGATAAATAATTGAATACAGCTTTTACACTATGATCTGTCACTACCCATCTATCTGTTGTTCGTCTGCCTCTCTGCATGTGCACCGTTTCATCCGTGCAGTCGTTATATTTTCTTCCTTATGCTTGTGGATTCCACTCCCTCCCCCATTTCAACACAGCCCATTCTGCATAATCTCTTTATACGTTCATGCAATCGGTCGATATGGAACAACAAGACCAAGATATGTCAGTAAAATGATCTCCCAAATAAACCTGGGTCCATCATGAGATTCAGTTTTTTTTTAAAGTAAGAAGTAAAGGACAACAGAGCTGTAATACTTTGTAAAGCAACGTTTTTGAATTCGTAAGAGATTAAAGAGGCTGCTGCATGCATCCTCCCTCGCTCTCTCTCTTTGTCTCTCTCTCCCTCCCTCTCTTAATCTGTTACAACATTCAGATTAGGATTACAAAAATGATTTACTTCCGGAAATGAATATGGAAGGACAGGCTAACGCTGGGGCCTGGTGCAGCGTGCTTCTCTCTCTTATCACGACACACTCTGTTGAGTTCATGCTGCTCTTTGGTTCATTTGTGTGAATCAGATTAAGTTTTATTTACACACAATTGTCTTTTACAAATCAAAGTAAATGGTTCCTAAAATGACAGTTTTGTGTCTCTTGTTTGGTTTTATGTTTTTAGATTCTCAATGATTCATTTCTTTTTCTTTTTACCTCTGCTCAGGAGGTTATGTGTTATGTGTCTGTTTGTTTGTTGGTTGATTTGTGAGCAGGATTACACACAAATAAACCAATTTCCAACAAAGTAGGTGGAGGGGTGGGGCCTGAGTCTGGGAACACATTTGATTTTAGTGCGGATGCAGATTAAGGGTCAGATGCATGCAGGAACATTTTTTTCCTCTGTCTTCAACATTGGGCATTTTTCTTCTTTTTTTTTCAGATCGATTTTCATCATGATCATAAATGTTTTTTATGTAAATAAATGAATGAATATTTTGTATTTATGATCAGAAGTAATAAAAATATCCAGCATATATTATATTTATGAGTGTATGCGTCTATGGTGTGGAGGCAAATGCTGCATATTTTCAGATTTATTGAAATTATTCTAGTGTGCTTACTTCATGTCTCCTGAGCAAATACATGCAGTTCTGGACATGCAAACCTTGAGATGCCTTTGTGACAATTATCCTGTAATTCTAAGCAATAAGTCTTTTGAAGTTTTCTTTTGAATCGCTGTCGTCTCTGCACCAAACAAACGCTCTGCCTCGGCCCCTGAGTGGAGCTCTGCTTCCTACTTCAGAGTTAGTGAGGGTTGCAGGAGGATCCTCATTAAACCTCAGGACAGATTGCAGCCTGACACCTACACATATGCTACCAGCTAACGAGGCTAGCCCACAGCAGAAATTACTGTTAATTACACGGATGCTTTGCACTAAAGGGCAATCTGGCCTGGGAGTGTGTGTGTGTGTGTG